AGGTGCAAATTGGCTCGCACCTTTTTCAACGTCCGTCTCTGCGTTTCGGTTTTTGCAATATTTGGAAATCGATCTGGGGACCCTGGGTCGTGGCCGTAGTTAGGCGGGTGATTAATGAGTTTTTAAGAGGCTCAGGCGAGAACTTTAATTGGAACATGCTGCTGCGTAAATCAGCTTAAAATTGCCACTAATAGGCTGGCCCAGTCCTTGGCCTTTAATTTACTTGACTTTTATTTCATTTTTCCTTCTCACCTGTGTATCTGTATCTGTATTTGTATTTGTATCTGTATCTGTGTGCCTATCCTGCGCGGATGTTCACACCTCTGGAGACGGACTTAGGCCGGGGGATTAGCACAAATTAGAGACTCGTTTGGGTGACGAGCCTCGAACTACGGTGCTAAGGGGCTGATTGATGATATGTTGGCAAATCTATTGGCCAGAAGACTAGGCTAGGTAGTGGCTGCAATGCCATGGTCCCCTCTTCTCAATGATGGCTTGCAATTTGCTTCATTAAAATGGAAATTAATGAAACGGGACATCAACCAAAAAAATGTTAAAAATCAAGAATATATGGAATATCTATATATTTCTTTATTTAAATCACAAAAATATAAGTAAGTTTCCATTTAAAAAAGTTTTACTGTATTTAAATTTCCCGAAAATATCTATAGATAGCTCCCTGAAACCCTGGAAAAGCCTATTCTTAAACTCAGGACACTCTCCCCAAGGAAAGGGTATTCAAGAGACAGACAAACGAGTTCGCCAAGTTCTATAAAAGAACGTCTGGAATCCGAATGGTTTTTTTTTTTTTTTTTATTTAAAATGGAAACGGGGTAACGTCGATGTGGATCATCATCGCGACTTAGCAGCGACATTGTTACAAAATTTTATGCGTTTTTAAATTAAACGTTATTATGCACTAATCCCGAACTAAACTGCGATTTACGGTCCCATCCGTGGAAGCGGAGCACGAAAAATTGATTAAAATTTAATGAGGACCAACTGTGTAAGCCATAAATATGCCTGGCCAAATGGCTTCATTTGCATGGATGGCATCTCTTGGGATCTGGGAACCTGAAATTCTAGAGGCAAGACGAGCGGAGCTTGAAACACTTTTCATTTCAAAAATGGCGCACGCCGATCGATCCGATCCGATCCGATCCTCGTCTCTCTCTATCCCTATTCCCTCGCCGCTGTGACCCCGAAAAAGGGAATACACAGAAGAGCAGATGTTTTCCTGTTGACCGCATCTAATGGTGCGTGCTACTGCGCTTGCTTAGCTCTTGTCAGTGCTGGCGATTTGGAGGAGGGGACTAGCAGGTCTTGTTTTATTTATAAATTATTTTAAAAAAATATATATAAAATGACTTTTGAAGATTACTTCATAATAAATAATAAAAAAGCCAAAGAGAGCTTCATTTCGGTTGTTTAATTACAAGATCTCTAAGTCAAACCATTTTAAATTTAAAAAACATTTCGTTTATGTTTTCTTTTAATATTTCAAAGAATTTAAAAAAAATATATCTATTTTTTTTTTATATAGAAATGTATAAATAGATTGTGGACATCACTGGCGATCATCTTCCATCCATTTTGGCTGCAAGACCGCAGAAAGACGAGACTGAAACGTCGCAGCGGCAAATGTATGGGGAATCTATACGGACACAAAACACACTCCACTGCAGGGGTAATGATAGTTATCAGCTGGACCTGGCCCGGTCGCCGAGACTCTTAGCTTGGCCACCGACAAACCCCTAAGCACAAAAGCAAAATAAATAAAGGAAATCCCTAACCGAACTTGGAATGCTCTAGAAATTAGAGGTAGCCTCTTGAAACCTAAGACTTTTTAGGTTGATTTATGTTTTTTATATTTTAAATATTATACTTTTTATATAATATTATTATTTATTTATATATGTATATTATGCCTTTGAATAAGAAAACTTTGATAAGAAGTCTTGTGGGTCTTCTATTATTGACCAAATGCTCTCTCAAAGTCGGACTAACCCCAAAAGTTTCCAAAAGATCTCTCAACCAAAACAAAAAGAAAACAAGTGAAATCAAAATCCCCCTCGATGATCCCCAGTTTGTTTTTTGTTGTTTATTTTTTTCCCCCCATTTGATTTGGCATGACGAGCTGAACTTTTGGTCCGTGCAAAGTTCAATGCGCCGCTCGGAGTGTGTATCTTAGCTTAGGATCTGTGCATCCACCTCGCTCTCTCTCGGTATTTCGCTCCATGACTTTGACTTTGGCTCCCCTATTTTCTGGAGACGAATGGATATGGCTGCATCTTGGGTTCAGAGGAAACAACCCCTAGCATTTCCATTTTTATGTTTGTGTGTGTGCGAGCTCGCGCGCTCGTTTATTTTTCAGCTGCAGCCAAAGCCGCCGGAGCCGGAGCCGGGGTTGGGAAAAAGGTGGAATCGGGGCATTAAGGCCGAAAGGGAGTCTCTCTCTGTCTAAGCCGCGTGCCGTGCCCCAGCCCCTGGGCCTCTCCCTTTACGATCCCAATTCCATTGCTTAAATACACCTGCCAGGCGACGGACGCCGATCGACGGGGACGAGTCCTGCTCCAGATCCTGCTCCTGCTCCTGCATTTAATTAAAATATTAACTACGAAAATGAGAGAGCAACAACTATGCTTTGCTGGATGGAATGCACTCGCCGAAAGAAATGGCATTTAGAGACCTGGCACACTTCAATAAAAGATTCTTGTATGCTTAAAAAATTTTATAAAAATTGTAATAATTTATTTTTGTTACATAGGACATTTCTCCGAGTGTAAACGAGTAGCTCGGCACGTGTAGAGTCTTGAGTAAGCAGGTCCTGGCAACGGGAACTCGTTTCAATTAACATTCATTTTTTTTTTCGATTTCAAGTTTTCGCTGGAAAAACGCACGCGTTGCTCCCCTGCGATCGGAGTATATATATCCTACACATATCCTGTGCTCGCCCCATCTCGCTTGCACGCAATTAACGCACGCGTATCCTGTTCTCGCGGCCCGGAACTATGCCTCATATCAAAGCAATTACGCATTTAAATCTTCCAAGCGTTGCGGCAAAAAACAACAAAACAAAACAACAAAAAAGGATATAAACATATAAAGGATATATAGCAGCAACAGCCAAAAGTTGTTTTCTGGTTGTCTGGACAACACAGCAAAGTTACAGGTTTTCAGGGTTTGTTTTCCAGCCTGAATAAGGACTAAAATACTATGCAGATCATCTCTGGGGATCGATAAAATCAAGTATTATGGTTTACTAGTCAAAATTTAACTTTCAACTTTGAGTAACTTCGCCAGAACCATAATCATTTCGAATCAAAATCGAGATAGAGGCCATAATACCAACAGATCTTCAAGATCTAGGGGCTCTCAAGTGTTCACCGCAGATTACACATGCTCATGTGTATCCGGGGATCAGGCTGAATCTGCCGAAAGGATAAGATCAGAGGTAGGATTTGCACGCGAGTCCTTTTCTGGCTTTTGACTTCTGACCGAGACCGTATCAGTATCTGAAGAACCTTCATCTTCATCTATCAATCATTGCGCAAAATGCACTCCACTTCAGCCAGCGATCCTGGGCCACAATAGATCATTCAGTGGACAATGGGGTACGGGAGTCCAAGCCTATTTTGGGCATTTCACCAGCATTCCGGCAGGACTTTTGCACAGCATTTATCATCGAAACTGCCAACAAAGGCGGCGGTGTGGCATGCGGGGAAATGCGAAAATTTGAATAGAAACCAACCGATGGATGGTCTGGGGACGTTGACAATGAACGTGTTAATGATGCCAAAATAATGGAATTCAATCCAAAGTCCCAAACCCCGATCACCCGGCATTACAATGCAAAAAAAAAGAAAAGAAAAGATGAAAGGTGAAAGAGTAGAGATTCCGGAATGCAGCATGCAAAAAAGGTAATGGAAATTGTCAAAGGATAAAGTACACAGAGAAGCGCCGTCCTTCTGGTCATGGTTGAAAAGGTTTTTGCGGGTTTCTTCAGTTTCGGTTTCGGTTTTCAGTTTTTGGTTCCACTTTTTGATTCTGATTTTAGAATTCCAAAATTTCGGCACATTTTTGGCATGATTTTGATGAAAAATGCTGGCTGGCTGAAGAAACAAAGGGAACGAGTTGCACGGGGGAAAAACAATCAAAAATTCAACTTACACCTGGCCACCATTTTACTGTGTCTCTGTTCTGGCCAAGAGTTGCCCTCTCTCTCGATTAATAATCGGTGAAAATATCAAGCGGAAGTTGCTGTTTACAGGGAAAACTTCAAGGTTTTCTGCATTTTCCTCAAGTTCAGTATTCTGTAAGAGATGTCCTGTATTGTTGAGTCTCTACTGTATTATTTGTCACATTTGCAGCCTGTCGCCAAGTCGCGTGTTTTGGATGAAAAAGCCGTGATCCTTTTGATCATTTAATTAGAGGAATATGTGAAATTGTTCGAACACCTTCCAAGACCTGACTCTGCATGACTAATAAGGAGGATCTCTGGATGGCTGGCACTGGCACTGGCACTGGCCTGGAGTTCGCGATCCCCTGGCGGCGCTAATGAATAGGGGCGTGCGTGAGCTGCACATGAAATTCGCAGTCGGAGTCGCGATTGCGACTTTTGCTAAGTTAATTAACACGGAAATCAAATTGCTGGCATGCCGCAGCCCGGCGCGCAGAGCTTCTTCTCAATCAGAGAGAAGTGCAGTCCCCCCGTTCGTCGGGCCTTGAGCACTTTTTCGAGTTGAGTTTTACGCTCGAGCGGCGGCAGTGGGAACAGTTTTTGAGCGCAGGTACGCCAGGCAGGCAGGCACTCAGAGAGAGAAGACTCTCTTTAAGAGCTACCTGTGGCTCTGCTGGGCTCACTACCTGCCCAGGTAGGTTGCTCTCTCTCACTAGCTCTCTCTCTCTCTGTCTGGCGGCCTCTCTGCCTGGTCTGGCACTTTGAAGGGTACATAACGTGAAGGTTTAGGACGAAGGGACTCATTCTTGTGCAAGGTGTCAAACGATCAAGTTCAAGCCTTCTCCTCCTGCCGTTATTTTTTTTGTTTCTGCCGAGTGCCAGTCGAGTGTGTGAACAAAAAACCATAACAATTAGTAACGAAAACACGCATCATGTCATCGAGTGTGCTGATCCCGAGCGATCTCTTCCCCACAACCATCAACACGGCCACGAAGATCTTCCGCTACCAACACATAATGCCGGCTCCCAATCCCTCCAACTCCAACTCCAGTCCCAGCAGCAACCACACATCGGCGATGCCCATCAAGACGCGCAAGTATACACCGCGTGGAATGGCCGGCGTCCTGGCCCGTTCAAGTTCCGGCTCCACCGAAGGCTCGTCCTCCTGCTCGCCGGGCTCCTCGCCGGCGCCGTACAACGTGGACCAGTCGCAGAGTGTCCAGCGACGCAATGCCCGAGAGCGCAACCGGGTCAAACAGGTGAACAACAGCTTCGCCCGGCTGAGGCAGCACATCCCGCAGTCCATTATCGCCGATCTGACCAAGGGCGGCGGCCGGGGGCCGCATAAGAAGATCTCCAAGGTGGACACACTGCGCATTGCCGTGGAATACATACGGCGGCTGCAGGACCTCGTCGACGATCTCAATGGAGGTCCCTCCAGTGTCAATGCCGGTGCCATGTCCCAGCTGCAGCTCTGCCTGGATGAGTCCAGCAGCCACAGTTCCGGCAGCAGCAGCTGCAGCTCCTCCAATGTGTACTACCAGAACGGAGGCAGCACTGCCACCACAACGCCGGCCACAAATCCCCTCCAGCAACAGCAGCAGCTGCAGCGCCAGCAGTTCCCCCACCAGCCACTGACGCCCATTTCCCTGAACAGCAACCTGGCGGCGGTTGGAGCCACTGGCGCCGCTACGGGAGCCACCTCGCCCACGTCCTCCTTCAACTCAAGCATGTCCTTTGACTCGGGCACCTATGAGGCGGCTCCCCAGCAGCTCTCCGCTCACCTGGACCACCTCGATCTGGACGGAGGCGAAGCCCACGGTCACGGTCACGGTCATGGTCACTCACAGCTGCAGCTCAAGTTTGAGCCGTACGAACACTTTCAACTGGACGAGGAGGACTGCACGCCCGACGACGAGGAGATCCTCGACTACATCTCGCTGTGGCAGGAGCAGTAGATCGATCGCAGAGCCTACTCGCCCCGCCCCCACCACCACACATCCTGTTCTCTTCTAGTCAACGTTGAGCTGAACCGAGTGCCTCAAATTGTAAATAAGAACCAAGCCTAAATCACAAATCATACAAAACAGAAAATATTTTTTTTTCCTACTCTAAGTTGCATATTTTTTTTTTGCCTAGGCTAAGAACCTCGAGACCAGTATCAAATATTATATATTTATGAAATAAAATTAATGCAAAACATTAAATTACTACCTTTTTTTTGGGAAGAAATACAAGGGAATTGGAGCTAACCAAACTCCACGAGCCAGACATGCGGGTAGCACTTGCACATTAATTGCATTTTACAGCGTTGCCGATTCCGATTGTAATGATGGTCAGAAGATGGCCAAGAGAAAGACGTGCCAGAGGCAGGCTGGCAATCAGGCAGGACAGGATGTGCGGGCTGTTGCTGTTTATATGGCCGCTAATGCAGATTACTGTGCATAATTTTTATGCCCCGACTCCCTCCTGGCTCTCTCTCTCTCTAACAGGTCTTAATACTTATCCCAAATAACCAGCTTTGGTTAACCCTTTACCCCCTGCTTAGCAGGTAGTAGTTCCTGCTAGGTAGAATGCCCTGACACGTGCCTGGAGCTCTGAGAAGTTCAGAAGTTGAGGGTGTCTTGAGGCAGAGTCTTATCGTAAATTGACTGAGCGCAAACACATCCGAACGAGATATGCCAATTCAATAGAATTCTCCTCTTCCAAATCCAAAAGCGTAACGGAAACGGGAACACGTCATTCTAATGCTGACATAGTCAAGGCCGGGGAGTTCCCCGGAAAATTTAATAAAATAAATATAATACCATATGTAGCGGTGATTGTTGTTATTACTTATATATTTATAATTTCCATTATATTAGATATATCAAATCCAAAATAGTCTTATTATTTTTGAAATTTTTGATTATGGATTTTGTAAGTTTTGTTCATTGCTTTACATGGTCTTTATTGTTAATTTATTTAAAGCCAAAATGAGCTTAGTTATGAATTTATTTAGATTTTGTTTAAGGATTTTGTAAGTTTTGTTTATTTTGAAAATATTTTTAAAATTATAGATAAATATTTAAATTAAATTCAGTAAGCAGTTTTAATAGGCTTCTAAAAAAGGAACTCTGAACAATTTTCCAAAGTAGATTTAATGCATTTTTGACTGAGTTCTAAATTTTTGAAATATTTTTTAAGGATTTTGTATGTTTTATGTATTTACATATTATAGTACTTAGTTTTCTTCACCTTCTAAAAACGTTTTCCGTTTAGCTTTACCAAAATTTGAATTTGTTTTAGACCTTAAATGAAGAATGGTGATTTGTTAACCTTCAAAACTTCTTTATTGCTTTTATTTTTTTGGGTTATAATCCAAACTGACCAGGCTCATTATATCTTCGAATTTTTTAAGCCTTAACTCTTGACAATTCCCCTCTCATTTTGCCACTTGGCCTTTGTTTCGACTGTTGTGCCCTACAAATTGATGGCTTTATAATGTAGTTCGTTCCTTGATCCACTCGAGAGCACTTTCTTGCCACTTTCTACAATCTCACTGGGAAATCCTTCGCTCCCACGCACCAAGATGTCAGATTGTTGGAATAAATAAATAGAACCCTTGGCCAGGGAGACAATAAATCACTTTGCATTTGAAAAAAACAAACGAAAACACAAGAGAGAGCGACGCCTGCATCAGACTATATTTTGACACATTAAAGGGCAGGGCAAACAAAAGGATTTGGGCATTGTCCTTGGGAAATCTGGATGCTGCTCCAAGGAAGTGAAAAGAGATCGGGATCCTCCAGCCTTTTATTTCAATGTCAACGCTGACACTTGACAACTCAATGCAATTGTTTCGCTTCAGTTTTTGGTCGGGAAAATGGGTTCCCGGATTCAGGCTTATCGCTCAACGCCGGAAGAACTTTCACCTTTGCCCAGACACAACACTCTCTCTCCCCCGTGGGGAATCTGACAAATCGTCCCCAGTCCCTGTACCTTTTCCAGCTGCTTTCGGGCGTGAGCTCAGAATATTCTTTAATAGATTTCTTGGCGCGCCAGCAACAATGTGGCCACATTTAAAATATATATTTAAAAAAACAAAAGAAAAACGTATAAAACACAAGCCGCGCCTGCATCAATCAGGGCCCAGAAATTTGACCAAATTATAGGCTGGCCTCAAGGACCCACAGATTGATGGTTCAGGCAGTTGCCAGGCGCAGGCACAGCTTAGCTCATAATTCAGCTCTTTAAGAAGTTGTTACTTGAAACATTTATTTTTACACCTAAGGCGCGAAGCAAACGGCAACAAAAGTTGGGTAAAAGGAGTAAATAAGGGGAACGACCAAACCCAAACAAGGAAAGCCAAACTAAATAATACAACAGAGGTGTTTTTTTGGGAAGATTCAAGCCGAAGTTTCAATTGCCCTGCAAATGGAACTGTCCAGGTTTTAGCTATTTTGAAATACATTAGAGCATTGGTAAATATTTTAAAGAGAAATAACATAAACTATTGTTTAGTCTGAGTAATCAAAATAGTTATATAATTCACAAATCCTTATTCTAGAGGCCATCACAAATAACCCCTAGTAAGGATATTAAACGGAACTTTAGGATCGTTTCAGCAGGGCCGAAAGATCGTTCAGCTTTACCGATTTATTTGAATTTCAATAAGGCACAAACCCCTTTTTTTGGGGTTCATTATCCTGTTATATGTTGCGGCGGCTTTTGGCCTTTCATCTCGGCACGCAAGCCATTTGAACTGGGGCGTTATTAATTAGCGTTATGAATTATTGATGCCAGAAGAGCCTCGGGTGGGGTCCTCGCCCACACACCAGAGATCGGCAGGCCTCTGCTTCTCCCTCCAAAAGCCAACAAATTATAAGAAGTTCCTAAACTATTCTACAGCCTGATATCTTCATTTTTTGGTAGATTTCTTCAAGCATATTCCCAGAGGAGGATGCATAAATCGCAGCATCGTCATCCTCACGTACATATATCACGTACGTACGTACATCCATCCAGCGAGGGGGGCTGGAGAGAAATATGTTCCAATTAGCGAAGTCAAATGTGACAAGCCGACCAGCCAAGAGGAAAGAGTAGACATACCCGACTCGGACTTGGACTCGGACTCGAACTCGAACTCCGCCAGGCAAAAGTTATTTGAGTTGTCATATTAAGTTGTGATAAATGTAGTTACATACCAAATGTGATAACTCTGTCGCTGACTTGGTCCCTGGGCGTAGGTAGGCGCCTCTCGTTCTCCCTTCGTCCCAGCCATGATGATGATCCTCAGCGATCCTCTGGCCTTTCGATCATTCAAAACACTTTTATGATTCGATGGAAATTCCTAGAGCCGGCGTTTGTGCTTTATGGCCCGCGAGAGAGCTCGCGTGACCCTGACTTCGCGGTGACCTGGCATTCCACCTGCCGGGTGCAGGAAGAAAAAAGGTGGCCTACCTGCAAAAACAAAAGAAAAAAAAACAGGGCCTAATAAGCGTACAATTGGTGGAATCGGGGAAAAATGCGTGGCTCTATTATTGTTAACCCTTGCAGGGCCAACACTTTAATCAGGCTATTCGACAGGGAAAATCCTGGTCGAGGGATTACACGGCAGCCAAAGTACAATAATTTTTATGATGCACCAAGCTCTTGGGTTATTCCTTCTTCCTGCGGACTTTTGAAAAAGGAATAAATACAAATTTTAAAAGAATTTTAATATAATTTAATATGAAGGATACAGTTTGTTATTTAAACTCAAGTATGACCTCCCCTGCGAATGCCTCTTGTTTATTCAGTTTTTCCGACCACCAACGTTGTCCGCCTCCCAATTAAGTTCTTGAGTTTGCGATTATCCCAGAAATAGTTATCCCTGATCCCATTAGAGCGTGCAACACACACCCCAAAACACTGGCTGCCAGTGGGCGTGTTTCAGTTCGCACTGGAAAATATGTTTCTTCTGCTTTTTCTATCCTAATTGCCACGGCCCAGACAGACACTTGAGCATATTTAGAGTCAACCATGACAATGACGATGACAATCCAATATCTTTGACCAGCACACGTGCCTTGCCAGCACACGGGAATTTGCACACCGATCTCGCATTGAAATTCCGCGACACGTAGCGCGTCTGAGCGTCTGAGATGTTTTCTGATGGATTATATGGATTTTGCCCATAAACACCAAACAATTAGTTTGTTTCTCGATGCACTGCAATGCCAATATCCACGTAATATGAAATTTATAACAGAAATACCTCTGCAAACTGAACGTTTCAAAGAACCAGGTGGTTTCTGCTCCAAGTCTGTCCCTTTAGGGATGAATTCCACATAAATAATATACAACTTCGCCTGTTTTCTTTCTGTGTAGAAAGCGGCAAATAGTTTTGAAGTCTGCTGGCCTTTGGCTCCATCAATCTCTGCGGTGGCGTTGCCCGACTTTTGTCAAACACACAACATCTCTCTCCTCCTCCTCCTGCAGCAGGATGGCTCTGCTCCTTGTTGCTTGCTCCTTTTTATTTGCATAAAATAAAGAAAACAAAATTCACAAACAGCAAACGAATAAAGAGCAGAGCAGACGCATCTGCAGCAGAGATGTAGTTGCCCCAAAGGGGCCAAAATGGGCGGACAGAGCTGAACTGATCGATCGATGGCTGTGGCAGTGGCTTTAACTTTGGCCTTTTGTTTTGCGTGTTGTTGTTTTTGTTTTTACTTTTTTGGTGGGGCCGGGTCAGCTGGCCATAAATCATGATCTGTAATTACCCGTTGGCGCAGGATGCGGCATCTCCACATAAGCCCCGGCACATGCTCAAGCCAAAGCCAAAGTCAAAGCCAAAGCCGGGTTCAAGAGTTTATCATTATCGGTGGAGAGTTTAAGGTAAAGAAATAAAGAAACAATGAAAGAATTGCCCGATGACCAAACACAATTATTCCACTTGATGTCGCTGCATATTTACGCATATTTGTTTTGACAGCCATGGCAGGCAATCCTTTGATCCTTCACGGTGCCCAGATCCTTCACTCCTCAGCACACAAGATACATGGATACCTAGATGCTTAGATAAACAAAAGTGCGCCAGTTCCCCGAAATCGAAACCTCTATTTATATCCTTGCAGGGTTTTATATAATATATATATATATATATATAGGAACATTAAGAAAATGTGTATGA